TATTAAATAAAAAAAATCAATTAAATTTTCCTTGTCTGTCCTATTTAAAAAAGATGTATATATATATATATATATATATACACAATGAATAAACAAAAATATATATATATATATATATATATATATATATATATATATAACACAGACACATACACACACACACATACATACATATATATATATATAACTGAATGGGTAAATATCAGTAGATGTATGAGTAAGTGATCATATATAAATACATATAAATACTCTATAGAGTAAGAAAAAACAGTGCTGAATGTTAAATAACAGAGCTATTTAATATATATTAAGGAATATACAAAATACCTTAAACTTATTGCACAACTCTGAGTTTCATGCTGAAGCAATTATCAAGTGCTGGTATATTCATTTTTATTTTAATTTTGGGTTGAAACTGGTTTTCAAAATTTCTGGTTATCACAATATACTTTATTGTTGGAGTGAAATATTATTTTTGTTAAAATATTTAAATGAATGGTGGTTTAATTTTGTATTTGAATTTAGGTGCAGATTAACATTTAAGATTGAAAATAAAGTTGGAAATAAGAATTATAAATTCTAATTTAGAGAGATACTAATGAAATAAAAGTAACAAGTAAGAATCAATGTTAGAAAATGAAGCAGGGTAACTTTTTTTACCATGAAAATCAATAAAGTAGTTAACAATATTATTAATATAAATATTAATATTACTGAACTAACTAAAAGTAGTGATATCAATAATAATAAAATATGTAAATAAATAAAAAGGGCAAATAAATGAATAATTAAATAAAAATAAGAAATGCAAATAGATAAGTAAATAGATAAACACGTTTCTAAAAGTATGACTAAACATAAAAGAAAAAGACAAGAAATAAACAATAATAAAAGATATATATTAAAAAAGATAATGATAATAGAAATAATAGATTAGCAAAAATGTTAAATGCATTACAGTCTAATATTAACACTAGTTGTATCGTAAAGGTAGCAAAAAGTAAAAATATTAATAAAGATAATATCAATACTAGTATATGTGGACACCAGGTTTGGCTAGACTATATTAATCTGGATCAACATGGTTGAGCAGAAATTTGATTCTATGTAGGCAGGTGTTAAGCAACTAACTTCTTTTGTTTAAGAGATTAGGATTATTATATACATATCCGTAACTAAGAACTGCAATTGCAGAAAAACAAACTCTGCCCATTAAATAGTAAATGTATGTCCAAATCATTAGTTTATAAAGCTGAAATCAAATGTGATGGCAAGGTCAAGTTTTATGCAAGCTCTCTAGAAAACCTTCTTCCACCACCAAATGACATTAAGCAATATCAAATATAGTAACAGCACTGATTCTCTAAATTTTTGTGAAACCTAAAAATCAAGAATAAAAACCAAATTATCATCTAGAAATTAATAGGAAAAGCTAAGCCCTTCAGCTTGAAAGGCAACAAAAGTAACTTATGTCTTTCTGAATGATTAATAATTCTGAAAAATATAAAAATATCCTAATCTCTTAAATGAAAGAAGTGAGTTGATGAGCACCTGACTACATAGAACTAAATTTTTGCTCAAACATAACTCAGATTAATATAGTCTAGTTGAACTCCACATATACTAGTATTGATATTATCTTTATTAGTATTTTTACTTTTTGTTCCCTGTACTATACAATGATTGTTAATATTAGAATGTAACACAGTTAACGTTTTTGCTAATACATTATTTGCATTATCTTATAATTATTAAAATAAAATTATAATTATTAAAATAAAAATAAATATAGTAGCACTTGATAATTGCTTCAGCATGAAACTCTGAGTTGTGCAATCAATATAAAGTATTTTGCATATCCCTTTATATATATATATATATATATATATATATATATATATATATATATATGATTTCTATTGTTGTTACTTGTATTAGAAACATGCATTTAATTTACTCATTAATAAAAAAGGTTTATGTACATAGTTATCCATCAAAGAACTGTTGAAACAGTTAAGTAAGCTTGACATATTTGAGAAGGATATTAGAATAAACAAGAACCTATACTGGCAGCAAACTATCTGCTTATGAATACAAAATTCAGTAAATATATAAAAATAGAAAGTAAATATATAAAAATAGAAAGTTGTGTTAGACAAGGATGTGTCTTCTCACCAGATTTATTCAGACTATACAGCGAGGTGATTGTGAGAGAATTAGAATTCCTACCAGGATTTATTATTGGTAGTCACATTCTTAACAACATGCAGGTGAGACAATGTCAATAGCAGACAAGGAAGGAAACTATAAGAACTCTTACAGAACATAATGAAGGAAAGGGAGAAGAAAGGACTAAACATCACTTGCAAGAAGAGAGAATGCATGGTTGCTATCAAAGGAACAACCCAACATGTAAATTACAAATTGGAAATACTGAAACCAAACAAGTTCAACAATTTAGATATCTGGGAAGTCTTTTATCAGAGGACGGAAAAGGCAACACCAAAATGCTAAGGTGCATTGAGATAGCAAACAATACCTTCCAAAAACTAAGCAAATTATTAAGAAACAGGAAAATTATGTTAGAAACAAAGAGTACTTAAATATTATGTAATATGGCAGTGAATGCTGGCCAATCTCTTCTCAGATGAAGAAAAGACTTGAGGCAATGGAAATGTGGTTCTACAGAAGGATGCTGAGAATACCATGGACTGAACATGTGAGCAATGACAAAATTTTAGAGAAAATGGAAATAAATAGGACAATAATACTTAAAATATTAACAAATCTTAATCTTAGTAGACATAGAAAGGAAACTGTAAGAAGGTAATGAAGGAAAGCAAAAAGAAAGGAGTAAACATTAATTGCAAGAAGATAGAATGTATATAATTAGTAAAAGGAACAGCCCAAAATACAAATTACAAATTGAAATACCGAAATCAAACAAGTATAACAGTTTCAATACCTGAGTAATATTTCATCAGAGGATGAGAATTGTGACACTGAAATCCGAAGGTACATTGGGATAGCAAAAGTTGTTTTTTAAAAGCTAAGTGAAATATTAAGAAAAAGAAAAATATCAATAGGAACAAAGAAAAGAGCACTAAACTTTTATGTAATACCTATATGTCAGTGACTGCTGGACAATAAAAAAAAAGATCATAAAAAGACAATATTTACTAAGAGCTACAAAGAACAGGAAACTGTGGAGAACCATTATCAAAAAAAGTCTTAAAGGAGCATGGTAGATAGCAGAAGAATGAGGATATAAATGGAATATCTGAAAAAGATCTGTCAGTTTGTTTTAATTGGTTTATTTAGGAAAGCCATTGATATCAGTCTTGTAAAAATAATGATTTCTATCATTTTCCTTTATTAACATCATAAGAGCTTTCTTCAAAGTACATTTTGTTGAAATTTGTTTCTTGAGTAATAAAAAAGAGAGCTTAGTATTCAGAGGTTGTAAATATAAGCTCCATGACATTCCATTTGTAAGCCTTTAAAAGTTCTAATTTCATAAAATTCAATCTATGTTTACTGTCTTCTATCTAAATTATCTAAATTCATTACTATCAATTCAACTGTTTCAAAATGTCAGTATGACAGAAATAAAGAATCCTTCAGTTTTTTCGCAAAGATAAAGATTAGCCATGAAAATAGATTAAAACAATCATAATAATAATAATAATGAAATCAGATTCAAAGTAAAACAATTTTTATGATAACTGTTAAAAATAAAATCTGTTACAAGAACAACTACAAATATTATTTCTAAGAATAAAATAGTAATATTACAAATAATAATAAAACCAAAAATCAAAAAGAATTCTATAAAATACAAAGAAAAATACACAGGAACAAATCAATAAATTATGAATTTGACTGGGAGCCATAAATAATGTATTTATTGTGTTCAAATGAGATTTGTTGACAAGGAAATAAACATTTATAAAATAGTTCTAGTGCTGTGTATGCAACGTCTTTACAAAGAAAGGCTTCCGGCAAAAAACATTTCTTTTTTTTTTCCTCTGGTTTATTTATTTATTTATTGAATGGCTTGTTACTTGCTTTTTGGTTTTTCTATTTTATTACACTAAAATGATAATGAATTTAAGAAAGGAGACTTCTTTGCCGACAGAAAGTTCATCTTTTGTCTCAAGGTAAATTTACAGGCCAGGGGTGAGCTAAGGACTAATTAGTTGACACTAGTTGAATTAGTCAGCACACCCACCTCTATTCCCAACCTTTATAATTATCTCACTCTCTTTGTTTTCTTCCTTCAAGCTTTCTATCTTTTTTTTTTTAAAGCTTCTCTTCTTTGTTTTTCACTCTTTCTTTTTTTCTTACTCTCCTTTTCTTTCAATGTTCCCTCAATTTTTGTTGTCATTTTACTTTGTCATTACTTTTTATTGTTTCCGACATTTGTAATTTTTTAAGAATCTTTTACATTACAACTATTGCTAATTTCTCTTGAAATGTTTATTTTTAGTCTTCTTTCTTACTTTTTTGTCTGTCTTTCTCATTTTGGCTTTAATATTTTTCCGCAATCTTTTTTTTTTATTTCTTTACTTATATTTTATTTTAAAGCCTCTTTTTTTTCCTTCATGTATCTCCAATTCTTCTTTACTTAGAAGACAAAAACAAAATGGGAAAAAATCTTGCTGAGAAAGAAAGAAAATTCAAAGCTAATGAAGAATATACTGTGATTAAAAAGAAAGAAATTTCATGTCAGAAAGAAAGAAAGAAGGAAAGGAATATTAAGTCAGAATCAAAAAGAAAGAAATTTTATGTGAAAGAAAAGAGAAAGAAATTTTATGTGAGAAACAAAGGGAAAGAAATAAGAAAAAAAGAAATTTTATGTTAGAAGAAAAAATAAAGAAAGAAATTTTATGCAAGAATCAAAGGGAAAGAAAGAAATTCTATGTTAGAAGCAAAGGTAAAGAAAGAAAGAAATTTTATGTTAGAACCAAAAGTAAAGAACGAAAGAAAGAAATTTTATGTTAGAAACAAAGAAGGAAAGAAAAAAAAGAAAGAAATTTTATGTTAGAAACAAACAAAGAAGGAAAGAAAAAAAAGAAAGAAATTTTCTGCAAGAATAAAAGGGAAAGAAAGAAAGAAAAATTTAATGTTAGAATCAAAGATAAAGAAAGAAAAAAAATTAAGACTGAAATTTTATGCCAGAATCAAAGGAAAGAAATAAGAAAGAAAGAAATTTTATGTTAGAACCAAAGGTAAAAAAAAAAAAGAATGAAATTTTATATTTTAACCAAACATAAAGAAAGAAAGAAACTAAGAAGCTCGGAAAAATATTTTGAGAAAAAGAAAAAAGGAAAACAAAAAGCTAAGGAAAAAAAAAGAAAAGCTGTTATCCAAAAATTCTTCTTTTATATTTTATTTGTTTCTGTTTTAGTTTTTAGTCAATTTTTTAAATATTTTTTTAAAAATTATATCTATATTTTTGTATTCATCTTTTCAATTTCAAGTAAATTGGAGAAAATCTTCTGGCTAATTTTTCATAAAACGAGTTAAGAAGCTGCACAAAAGTTGTAAGAAACAAACCAATAATGTTTAAGCTGATCGTAAAATTGTCACACAAAATTGACAGTTATTTCTTTTTTGCTTTATTCTTTTTCTGCCATTTCTCTAATTTTCTGTCAAAGTTTTAAAAAAAAGAAACATAAACAAAGTAGAATCTGAACAGACCCTGCAGCTCATTTAACATAAAATCGAACTTTAGTGACATTTTTCACTGAAATCTTGTTATTCGAACGTTATTTATTACTCTTACTGAAATTGTATTTTCTCATTAACTCATGTGAGACAAAAAAGTAAGTAACATTCTTCTAGTCATCATAAAAGTCTAAATTAAATAAATAAAAGATGATAGCACTTTCAAGACAAATCTATTCTCTTCATGGCATTTTCAAGAATGATTGAATGATTCATTTTTATGGCTTATCAACCTCTTGCAAGTTATTTAAAACCAAAATATATTTTCACAATTAAGAATTTTTTGTGATAATGATGATTTAGTGATACAAGTCCTACTAATTAACCCATAGCTGGGAGGAGAAGAGGTGGATTTATACTTATCCCAAGGGTATTTGTGTGTAAATATAACAAAACTTGACTGGCCATATAGATCCTTCCCTGCCCCCCATTAGAATGTCTGATAGTCAACTTCTTGAGAGCAACTCTCTGCGTCTGCTCAGTCTCACGTTGACTGCTGACCTGAGATGGAACAAATACATTGAGTCAATTGCATCGTCCACTGTGAGGAAAGTTGGCTCTCTGTGCTGCGCCAGGAAATTTTTTTTCCCCGGAATTGATATTTCAAATATACAAATCAACCATTCACCCTTGCATGGAGTATTTCTGCCATATATGGTCTGGGGCACCTTTTGTTTACCTCAGAGTTCTTGACAAGATTCAGAGATGGATATGTAATATAATTGGCCATGATCTGGCATCTCGTCTACAGTCACTCTCTCACAGACGCGTCGTCGCCTCTCTCTGTCTTTTCTACAAATACTTTCATGGTAATTGCTCCAATGAGCTGCTTTCACTGGTTCCCAGACTCCATGAATTCAAGCGCCCTACGAGGCTGGCATCTCGCTCTCACCTTTACACTGTAGAAACTTTTAAATGTAGCCGTCTCTTCTACTCCAATAGCTTCATACCTCGCACTTCGCACCTGTGGAACACCCATCCCAATTACTGTTTCCCTGAGAGCTATAATCTCCAACTATTCAAATGTAATGTCAATCGACATCTCCAGTTACCTTTATTTATCCCCTATCCCTCTCCTCATCCTTTCTTCTATCACTCCTATCTGCTCTCGCTCCAAATCTTCTGCAACCCCTGCATCCTAGTGGCTTCACTCCTTGCTTGGGGCGTAATGCTTAAAAAAAAAAAAAAAATTGGAATTCAGCTCTCCAATTTCATATTCCAAGCCACAATCCATTGTACCACCTACACATCTAAGCTCACAGCATTAGTTATTCTCAAGCAGTCATACATCTAGGTACTGACAAGGCTCAATGCTGCTTAACTTCGGCTATCATATGACCATAAGACTTGCAATTTCAAGAAAGACATTTCATCAAGACTATGAGGTTAGTTTGGAAAGAATCCAGCTTTTTAATATAAACAAAAAACATAGTCTCCCTAAGAACACAATTTAAGTTCTTAGATTAATGTTTTGGTATAGCAGCATCTGGCAGTTTTGTGCAGAAATACCACAGGCACAGTCTATTTTAGGTATTTACTCTGTCTACCCACTAAGACAAGTTGTGACACAAGGTCAGCTTTTAAGGTGGGGACACGAGTGTGTACACCAAGGCTAGGAACAAAAATTGCCTGCAGCCCCTGCAACCGTTGCTTGCACTGGCCTCAGTGTGAGCACCAACCCCTCACTATGGTTCAATGGAAGGGCACAGCCTCGGGCAGCTGTTCCCCAGGGCTGGGCACCACTCAGTATAATTTTCCTCAGTTGCAACTCTGTCCTTTGACAGAGTCACCCCTGAGTGCACTCTGCCCATGGACAGAGATGCAACTGAGAGATGATAAATAATGTGTTACAAACCACTCAGCTTATTCTATGTACAATTTCCTTATCTCTTGTACCCAGTCAGAACCCCACTCCTTTAACTTAAACAGAAGTGCTTACTTTGACATCTACAGCTCACATGACAAAAACAGGCCTTAATTTAATCTGGCTCTGTACACCCATTTCCAGAATTCTGCCCCAAAATACCAGGGTCATAAAACATCTTTTCTGACCAATCAGAAAAAAGCCCACATAGTTTTTGAAGCAGCTGTTTCTGAGTCACTGACTCACTATAAAGCTAACACTAATTTCACCCATTCAATAGACCTCATGGAACACAAACAGGCACAGTGGACTACATAACATCCCAGGCCATCAGCAGTGACATCAAGGTACTTCCATCAGCAATGATTCCTTCAGCTAGCCATGAAACCAACAGTTAGCAGAGACAAACTCTTGGCTAATACAATGCTATAATTCATTGAATATTTCTTACACAACTACATATGCATTTTGTTTTTCTAAAGTTTCTATCTGAACTAATACCTTGTGTTATACCCCTGAATGATCTCCCATGGCTTATATACGATACCCTGTAATGAGTAAATGATCGAACCTTGTAGATCACAGAAAATTAAAATCTCTTTCATTTATCTTGGCCATATTTTATCTCTATTTATTGTTTTGCCACTTTCATTTTTTCTTGTTAATGGTAAGGCTGCCATTACACTAAATTTGCTATAAATGATCTATACACTAATATATTTGAAGAGAATTTATTAATTAAATTTTTCAGTTTCTTTAATGGATTCAGGGTATGTGTCATCATGGCTCTCATTTGAATTCCAAATTAATAGTACTTTCAGGAGTAGTATCTGTGGTAATTCAAGACTGTAATACAAGTTCACATCAACACACTATGAAGGAGTTCCCTTCAATGTACTCTCCTTGAAACCTTATACATTTATCCCAAGATCCTTTTTAAACAAAAATCTGTTTTTTTTTGAGATTGCTATTAAGCTACCTCATTACATTCTCCTTAATGTCATCCATGGTATATATATTGAATTTATTTTTGAGTTCCTTATTTTCATACTGTTTGAATAATTTGGTGTTCCCAATTCTTGTATTTTTTTAATCATGTTGAGTTCTTCATTCTTGTATTCTTTGAACCACTTTGAGTTCCTCATTCTTGTATTATTTGAATAATTTTGAGTTCCTTATTCTTGTTTTGAACCATTTTGTGTTCCCTATTTACATATTTTTGAAATCATATTTAGTTCCTTATTATCAAAACCGTTAAATCATTGTGTAACAGAATGTTAGAATTTAGTAATTCCAAAATTGATAATGAATATTACAAATTTTATGAAAAAACAGAGAAAGGTTAATTAAAAATTAGAATTTTTCCCTTTGTATTTTGTGTAAACAGTTATATAATATGAGGAATGTAGAAAAACAAAGGACAGCAAGTCTCTTTTGTCTTTTAGCCCTCTGCTGTAACCATTCTGCTATATAAACAAGGCTAGAGTTATGTTCATCACATAATAAGACTTAAAAGCAATGCTTATATATTGTTTTTGTCAAACTATTCCTCCTTTATTTATTTTTCATTATTTTTTAGGCACTTATTTTGTAGTATATTTTGATTTCCAACAAATCCTGTTTGATTATTATCTTGCATTCTGTCAAAACACTGTTAATTCGCACAGAATCTGATTTTTCATTTTGAAAACTTTTGAGTGATTCTGGGAATATATATATATATATATATATATATATATATATATGTGTATATATATATATATATATATATATATATATCCACACACGCAGAGTCTTGTGGAGTAAATAAGACACCCACTCCCGGTAATACACATGAGTTAGGTAAGACGCCTTAAATAAAGAACTCCAAGTGAGTCAGGGAAGTTTGTTGAAATCAATTGGAGGGAATTCTAATAATGTCACGGTGAGTAGCCTAAGCAAGACAAAATATTATAACTGCTAGGAGTGAGTTATAACAAATAGTGAATCAGAAGTAACATAAGTTCACAATCCTTATCAAAGGTCAACTCAGAGTTTTGTGATTTCTCATTCGTCAACAGTGAGATAACAATGATTATATTAATTACAGACTGTCTATTTTATTATTTCACAAATGCTTCCTTATATATGCTGACGCTTGAATTTAATTTTTTTTCTACACATATAACTCATAAATTTTCTATAACAGCTGAAAAGTTTAATAACCATTTATATGAAGATGGCCTCTCCCATCAATTTCAATCTATACAGATCTGACAACCTCATTCAGTTTTTATGTTTGTGTTGTATGTGACACTTTAGTCTCATCAATGACCTGCATACAAGTTCAGATATTGTGCAACAGTAAGGATCTTGGGACATAGCAACAGGAATATTTGACACTTTTTGCCGTTGTCTTTTTGCTTCTTAGCCAGTCAATATGACCTATTTCGAAATTATCATTTATCTTTATATATATATATATATATATATATATATATATATATATATATATAAAAGTATGAATCCATATCCTCCCACCTGCTATGAATTAAATAGTAATACTTGTATCTAGAAAAATCATTTTTGTTCTCAATTAATTATTAATGCTACATTCACACCTTAGAAAATAATTCTTACAAACCAGAATATTTCAGTTTTAAATAACTCACAAAGGGTTGACAATCCATAAAAAACAAATCAAGAACTCATCCATCATAAAATTCAGAATGTGGAATTAATACTAAATACTTCAAATATCTCAGTGT